TGGATATTTTGAGATGTATGGATGATATTTGGAAATACTATTTTAACTATTTTAAAAATGAATTTTTTGGGACCATATTTTGGGATGTTACACTTGACTTTATTGGTCAGTGCTCAATTGCTTCCTTATATGACCTATATAATGTGTGTTTGACGATGCCAAAGAGTATCTTCTGATAGGAGTTTTACAAAAACTTGTAATTGCATTCTTTTTACTCTCTAATGAAAATCAAATCTTATTTACGCTTGAGTGTCCTTTCTGATTAGATCTTTCATACATGATTTCATTCTTATTAAATCTATCGATCCAACGATGATGATTAATTGTTGAATCTAATGTTAGTTCTTTGGTTTTGGACTCCTAAACTCCATGGAATCAAACCCTAGTTGATTAATGCAGGGTGTGGTGGGATTTGGAGTTTTTAAGCTTCATCTATAGTTGAATTATCTTGTTAATGGAATTAAATGATTTTGGATGATTGGATTTGCTATTCCAATGATTTAGAATCAACTCTCAATTTAGATGATCATAAAACACCATGAGATTCATTACTAGGATCTGTATACTGAGTATGAGCTTAATCTAGGATTTCAATGACAACTCATGAACTTGTGGTTATAAACTCCAATGATTGATTCAAGTTCGTTGGAATTATCTACCATTGATAAAATATCTCATGTTAATACTTATATTGGAAGAATTGGTTGATAGGAAAAAAGGATTGGAGGTTATTGGAATCCCATATTGTAAAATAACTTTTGAGTTACATCAACTTTAGAATCACACTACAACCCATGATTCCAAATGGAATTGGGCATTCCAATGCTTGAGGATAATAATGGATCATTTATAGATTATTGAGTAATAAAATGTTGGATGTTTAAATAAGCTTTTCTTTAGCTTTTATGATGTCCACATGATCTAACCATCAAGACAATGGTCAAATATGATATTTCAAAGAGAAATTAAATAGCCTCCTACTTTTCTTCCTACATATCTTCCTACCCATTTGAAATGATGACAAGTGTATTAAAATATTATTAATCTTATCCAAATATGACACATGCCACAATTTCATTGGGTAGGAAGATAAGTAGGAACACAATGTAGGAGGATATTTAATTTCTCTATTTCAAACTATCCTAGCGAGGGGTGTTTCATACTAGGGTCAATTTGGAGTTGAAAAGAATTGGTATTGACTATATTATATGCCCCACTTATGGTGTAAACTAAGACATATATTTTGAAATAAAATACTTATACTCTCAATTAAGCTCTATAGTATGTTAGTTTATAGCTTTTGGTTTTCTCTTACCCGAACGCACCAATATTTGCATTCATATATGTTTATGCATCTTTAAAATCAAATTAGCTTTGCGAGTAGAAAAAGGAAAACAAGAAGAACAAAAAATTAACATTAAGGTTTTTAAAATAATTGGTTAAAGAAGCAAATTACAATGACTTTAGTTGACTGTCTATCTATTTTGTGTACTCTCTGTCTTTTTTTGGTTAGTAGAAAAGAGCAATACTTACTAATGTTCTTGTGTTTTTAATGTAGAGAACTCTATTATCAAATTAATTTTTTGTAGTTCCTTTTTGCAACAAAACAAAAGACATCCTATGTTACTAACCATAATATTATGTGAAATAATATATCAATGAGAGACGATGACTGTGAAAACCTACTATTGATAATGAAAAGAGTTTTTGTATTATCTTTTTAAAGTTTTGAGCCAAGGTTTGTGTCGTTGGTTCTACTAAGCTGATTCAGCTGGTGTATCAGTTATATGATAAAATAATTATGTATGCATTGTATCGTGCTCCTTTGTGTTGGACATTGTGAGACTTATGGTTTGAAATAAAATACTTATACTCTCATTTAAGTTCTATAGTATGTTAGTTTATAGCTTTTGGTCTTCTCTTACCCGAATGCACCAATATTTGCATTCATATATGTTTATGCATCTTTAAAATCAAATTAGCTTTTCGAATAGAAAAAGGAAAACAAGAAGAACAAAAAATTAACATTAAGGTTTTTAAAATAATTGGTTAAAGAAGCAAATTGCAATGTCTTTAGTTGATTGTCAATCTATTTTGTGTACTCTTCGTCTTTTCTTTTTGGTTAGTAGAAAAGAACAATACTTATTGATGTTCTTGTGTTTTTAATGTAAAGAACTTTATTATCAGATTATTTTTTTGTTGTTCCTTTTTGCAAAAAACAAAAGACACCCTATGTTACTAACCGTAATATTATGTAATGAAATGATATATCAATAAGAGACGATGAGTGTAAAAACATACCACTGATAATGAAAAGAGTTTTTGTATCGTCTTTTTTAATTTTTGAGTTGCGGTTTGTGTCGGTTCTACTAAGTTGATTCAACTAGTGTATCAGTTATATGATAAACTAATTATGTATGCATTGTATGGTGCTCTTGTGTGTTGGACATTGTGAGAATTAGACATATTTAAGTTCAGGACAAACGTTTTCTTTTTATTGTTGGATGAATTCACAAACAATTTTGTGTTCCACTAGACTCCTACCCATACCGTGTGCCATTGGTTGATGCGCTCACGCATAATTCGTATCAGGTAAATTTGAACTGTTGAACATGGTATGATTTATCTGTTTAATGAATCGACTCATTTAATTTACTAGCCAGAAGTTGTTCATTGAAAGGTCACGTCTGAATGAGTTAGTATTGAGCGGGTCTCATACAACCTATTAACAAATCAACAACCTCTAAAAAGTAAAAAAAAAAACCTTCTGTTTTCTTAATCATTGATTACTTTATCTATCAACCCTTTCTTAATCCTTAATTACTTTATCTATCAACCCTTGCTTAATCCTTAACTAGTGTTTGAAGTGGCATTTTTTTAATTCACTATAGGTGAATATCAAGTATGGCAATAACTACAAAAGTGCTCATGATTTTTAGTACTCTTAATATATTATAAAGTCGGGATAGATCAATAAACTAGTAGCACTTGTACCGAAGACTCTAATTAAGCAAATAATAAAATATCTTAAAATCAATATATAATGATGAATCAACAATAAAAAAAAACTAATTAAAGAATATTATCTTAATTAATCATGATGTTATAGATCCAACTATTTTCAGCAATCGACGATTAAAAAAGAGATAGAAGCAGAATCAGAACATTTGAATTTGCATTTGCATTTTGACATATTCTTTCTTTAATTAAAAAAACAATATATTTTATTATCGGTTGTCTTAAAAAATAATATATTTATTGGTCATGTTTTAGGCCTGCTTTACACTGTTTTTCGTAATTATTATTTAGAGTCGATATCTTTAGATACATTCGTATATTATTTGTTGGCTCTATACATTATTTTTTTTTTTTCGAAATTAATATTGAACCAAACATTATTTTTGATAAAAAGAATATTACTGTTATTAACTTATTAATATGGATTGTGCGAAAAGTAGTACGTGTATTCCATGGGATCAATCCTCCTCTGTACATCACGCTGTCAGTTTATCGTTTTCCTAACCGAACAATTGTTCTATACACCCCCTTACTTTTAAGTTTATTACAAATTTGACACTTAAAGTTTAAAGCTTTACACTTTGAAGATTTGAGTTTCATTTTAAGGTCATCTAGATCTTGTACCTATGTGCATTAATTTGCCTTGCTCCAATATGTTATTTAGTTAATCAACTTATAATTGTGAGAGTATATATGAATAAGATATATACCATCATTAAGGTGCTTTAATGGTGATCATTTTGTATGTAACGCTTTAAAATGAAGTTGATCATGTTCGAATCTCACAGACTTCAACTACAAAGTGACATGTTTAAAAATATCATATGCATGTTACATCATCTTATAACACTATACATCAAGATCTCATAGATAATAAATTGCTATAATATAATTATGAACCATAATAATATATGTCCCTTGAAAATGCATCAACCAACTTTTATATTGCCATTTAGATCATGATATTGTCAAAAAAGTATTAAACCTTAAAACTTTTAATTATTTTTCATATTATGAAAATGATAACTTTATTTTTCAAATACATATTCATCCATGGCCACTTATATCACTAATCGGCCAGATAAGAAAAAGCTTAATTTTCTTTAACAAAATGTTAAAACTTTTGAGTTTTAAATTGGAGATTTATTTCATTCTAAAATGTTTAAATTTCAAATAATTTTTATAAAATCATATTTTGTTGTTACCTACGTAAAACCAGATAAGTAGAAAAAATAATTAGCAGCGCAACTTGTTGTCCATTTTTCATCTCACTCGTTGTACGATGATAACTAAAGTATTCTAATGCTTAAAAAATAAGTAGAAGATTAGAAATTTCAACTACCTCACTTATTTTTCTACCTCACTTATTCTTCTGGAAAAAATAAGATAAGTAGACAATTTAAAATTTCAACCATCTCACTTATTCTTCTAATAAGATAAGTAGACAATTTAAAATTTCAACCATCTCACTTATTCTTCTGGAAACTAATGTTTATGAGGAAGTCTTAATAGTTCCAATATTATATTTTTAATGAAGAATATATTTTTGATGAAGTTTTCAAGTATTTATATATACAACGAAAAGTCTTGTTTGTAATAATAATAAAAAAAATGAAACTAAGGGGACTAAAAACGAAATACAACCTTTTAGCACACGACCCCCAATTTGTATGAACAAATATATAATCAGTGATTCTTCCCATATTCTCTCTCTCTATCTCTCTCAAATCCTCTCTTCTCCCTCTGTAAATTTCTGAAATAAAATCACATTGAAGATAGAAGACAAGCACGAAATCTCTCTAAAAGTCTGAACAATCTTTGTTTTCATCGTCAATTAGAGAAACGCTTAAACGCTAATCAATGGAGCGTTGAATCCCCAAAGAACTAACAAGGAAACAGATACAAATATTCAACAATTAGAAGCTAATTCTGCCGATTTACTTGAAATCAAGTGTAGAGAGGTATAGAATTTACATCCATAAATGAGGTGTAAGAAGCATTACACCGATCTCAGCAGTGCCGTCGGCGTATGCGCTTGTTGTCTCCGGGAACGTCTGTTGTATCTCATCGCAGCTCAAGAACAAGCTCATGCTCAAGCACAGAGTGGTCAAAACCTAGACGGAAAACAACGCAATTTGGACGGGAAACCAGTGTTTCCTCGCTTTGATTCTCCGTTAAACAACCGCCGGAAGTCCGATCGTTCTGCCGGAGCTACTGTATTGTCTCATAACGATCGACGAAAGGATCATCATCCTTATACTCCTGCTGCTCCTCGTCATAACCATAGCCTCTCGGATCAACTGTTTTATCGAACTCCCCAGGTAGGACCTACTACCGGAGGTCACAACAACACCGGCGTTCATTCGAATAAGAAGCGGAGTTTGATTCGGTTGCTTACGTTTCCCTTCAGATCTAAGAATCGAAACTCGGTGGATTCGGTTTCGGATCCCAGGGCATCAGATTCGACTTTCAGGGAACCGAGCGGTGGTGGTAATGCCACGTCGTCAACGTCAACGTCGTCGTCTTCGTGGTTCTCAAGCATTGTACACGGTGGTGGTCGTAACCGGAGGAAGCAACCTGTTTATGCTGATGAATCTCAAGTAACCGGCGGAATCGGTGTGGTCCGGAGACAGTACTGCCGAGATCGGGGAATGTCACCGGTGAGAAACTCAGATTGCGACGGAGGAAATGAAGATGATTTATTCGATGTAACAAGCGGGTATGAGTCAAGGCCGGAGTCATGGAAAAACACACCAAGAAGAACACCGGCTCATCCAGACGGCCGGCGCGGCGGCGGTGCCGGACACGTGAGGAATTTATCCGGTTTAACATTCTGTTTGAGCCCCTTGGTTCGTGCAAGTCCTAACCGGCAATGGAATCAGAAGGGTATGCCACCGCCACCACCGCTGGAAAGCGGTTTATCAGGCGAAACCAGAGCTCCGGTGAAGCCTCATCTTTCAAACATAAAATCATTTTGCCCAAACAGATCAAGAAAATTCGCCGATTTCGGGAGGCCCAATGCTCACCATTGATTTTGATGACTGGTGTCATTGACCCAGTCGCAGATTGGTTTGACTGGGCCTCAAAGTACACGATTTTGCCACCATTGGTATCTCCCCCTTCATACTTTTATCAATAATTACTATATGATTATTCATATTTTACTGATACCAAAATATTTTTATTCTTTTTTCTTCTTCATTTCTTTTTTGTAATTATGAGATTCGATTTGAGTATAGTGTGAATTACAAATTTGGCCTCACATTTTGTCTTTTTATATATATTCCTCATGTGTCATAAAATAATTCTTTGTTCTTAGACAATGTATTCGTGGATGTTTTATAAATAATATCTTAATGTATACAGTAAATTCAAAGTAATATTTTATTAAATCATAATGGAAAAGCAACAGTATTTTTTTTTCCACAAAGTTAAGTATTTTTTTTTTTTTTTTTATAAAATGATATCATTTTTTTTGCGAAATGGTTGTCATTCGAAAAAAAAAATTTGTTTAAAAATTCCCTTATGAAGGAAAATCGATGAATTTTTTTTTCTTAAAAAAATGATTATTTTATAATAAATGTCCAAAAAATGATAATTGTGATAAGATGATCAAAATTTGAACAATTTTAACAACAAACATAATTCATTGTGAAATATGCATGGCGTAGTGTAATTTGTCGTCACATTGACGTTATGAAATTGGTAGGTATGAAGTTATGAAATAAATGAATTATATGTCATGAAACTATTATAAATTATAAATTTATAAAATTACACGTTAAGAAACAAATGGAAGTTTTATAATTACAGTTTTTTGGAAAAAAAAAATCAGTTAGGATTCAGTTTTATTAAAATGTTAATAGATATTTATTAGGTATACAAATCGAATACTTATAATAGAGATTAATCTAATATCTAATATATAATTTGAATTTGATTAGGAAAAATATCACAATCAAAAGTTGTCGTTAATTAAGAAATTACCTATCAAATATTAAATAATATTGAAAAATAGAAACATCAATTTTGGGCACTTAATTAGCGATCCAATCCGTTTCAATGCCAAAAGCAAATGCGGCTAACTTATCCAAAAGGTGATTTGTGATCACAGTCATTGTTGATGTCAACACCCTCTTATTCATCAAATTATTTTAAAAAGTTAAAATCAATATTGTTAATAATTTAAAATATAATTTAAAAATGTTATTAACAATAATCATGGGGAAAAGTCGGCTTGTGACTTATGTACTATTTGGATTGGATGTCATAAGAATCATGGTTCTCATGATGAGGTTCTATGAATTGGGAAAATGGTATTAAGACATGAAACATCTCAAAAGGATTGTAAAGGGATGGGGAACTCTAGATCGTATGCTCATGTAACTATGGGTGTTGGGTTCTAATCATAATGAAAATGTTGAAATACATATAAAAGAGGAGTGAAATTGTAGTTTTATATGATATGTAAAATGTTTATTGTCTAAGATGAGAATGTTGTTCGAGGAAATGATGTCGTGGTCTAAGGACTTTATGGTTAAAGAAATGTTAGTCTTGGTTGAAATTAAAGGGGTATCATTGCTAGTAAGTGAGGTAATGTGTTAATACTTTGGATCCATTTCAAAAGGGTATTTTATATTACTTTGGATCCATTTCAAAAGGGTATTTTATTGGGAATGTGCCTTTAGTTACTGGATCACATTCTATAAAGGTGGTCTTACATGATATTCTTGATACTATTAGAGTGAGATAAACTAAAAGGTGAATTCCAACAATAAAGAGTTTCGAGTCGGACTCGTTTATAAAGTCGGAAAGTGAGTTGCTTAAGGAAGCAAAATAATTTATATCATATATAACTTAAAAAGACTTTTGATGAGCTGTCAAAAGCACCACATCTCAACGTCATATGACATGTCTAATTCAACGCTATTTGTGAAAAATAGCATGTGGTCGTTTTCTAACGTGTCATTCAATTGGGAATGACTCTTCGCCGGGTTGCGGTTACGTCTTGTGTTTGTCTATTTATTGTGAGTTTTTGATCGTCCAGTTGCCATTGTAACCGGTCGTGCTTTGGTGTATAAATGAGGTTTCTTAGATAATATGTTCAACAAATGAATTGTTTATGCTCATTTATATGTATAGTTGTTGAGTTGTGAGTTTTCTTATTGATTTGTTCTTTTGTTTGTTATTGGTTGTTGATTTTTGCGTTTTCGTTTATATTAAGGCATCAAAATTAAACAACATTGCTAATTGAGGTGTCTACTCTTTGTTGTTTTACTATGTGTTGTTTGTTTGATCATGACTTACGTATAACTTTCGAGGAACCGAATATGATTTCGTACGACACCGCACATAATCATCAACCAAGATAACTTCAACTCATATTTTCATGATAAAATAAGTTGTTGGATCTTTATTCTCAAGAATCATTTTAAAATGATCTTGCCAATAACATATGATCATATAAGGTCATAAAAAGGATACACAAACTGATTATTTATAAGAATTTGATTCTTATAAATATTTATAACTTTTGCAATGTATTGAAAATTGTTTATTTTACGAAAATAATATTTTCCAATGAAAGTATCGTACTTTATATCATAAGGTATGATAAATGAAATAATGTACATCTTTTTGGACTAAATGGGTTTTGGTTTTATAAACATTTGTGCATAACTTATAGAAGTAAGAAAAGTGAAAAGTATTATTATTTTTTTTTATTATTAAAACCGAGAATGGTCTAGGAGGATACAAGAATGACCTAGTTGCTTATTTTAATAAGAACATCTTACTTTGGAAGCATGGGTTCTTTCGCTATAAGAAAAAGTTGATATTGCTTGGGAAGGAATCCATTGCAAAAAGTTAAAATTTTGTTGCAAAAGACCAATAGCTATGGAATTTACAACGACCCATTTTCATCCCTAAAAAACGCATAGCGAAGGGTTTGCAACGAAAACTATAATTCCGTCGCAAATGTGACAATGTAATGAAATTCGTAGTAGAGGGTATTCCGTCGCGTTTTTCCATAGAAGGATTCTGTAACGAATTCCGTTGCAGTGCGTCCGTTGCGAATTCCGTAGTCCATTTTTCGTAGCTAATCTTGCATTCATTCCATCACAAATTCAGTTTTAGTGGATCCATAGCAACTTCCATTGTAACACCCCAAAAATCACAATAAATTTGAACTTTTTAAAAACAACCCAAAGCCATAAATGTTTGCAAAACCATTGTTTCGAAAGTGTATTTTAGTAATCAGAGTATCCCAAAATCCAAATAACATAAAACCGAAGGATGTGCACGATCACGTCTTCGCCTTGCCACGATCATGTGAAGTACCTGAAACAATAAACTGAAACTGTAAGCCAAAGCTTAGTGAGTTCCCCCAAAGTACCAACACACACAAACATATAACAACTTATATTAGGTCCAAAACTAACATACTGGATTACCCCTGATCCCACAGTAAGAGTCTGGCTTGCCTTTCAGGCCCACAACTCATATTTGGCTTGCTCCTGAGTCCACAACATAAGTTTGGCTTGCCCTTCAGGCCTACAGCTTATGTATGGCTTGCTCTCAGGTTTATTGGCTACCGCACAAAGCAGTACTACCTCAACCCAACCATACTATGTCGATATATACATAACATATAACATATATCCAACAAACAGATAAACTTATAACCAGTCAACAGACAAACAAGCAGATATACAGATCACTACCGCATACTACATCCTATTTACCAGGATACCGATCTAACAGATTACTATGACATATCAACATCCTCTATACTAGGATACATAATCTAGTGGGCCGGTATTGGTGCCTTCGACCCACAAGTATAATGAGTAAAATTCACCTTAGTCCGAACAAGTAGCTGAATTGGTCTCCGCTCCGAATATCAGCTCTAACCGTCACCTATTCATCAAATAGTGACCAATCTCAAATACAACTCAAAATACCCAAAATACCCTTAGGTCAAACTTGGTCAAAGTCATAAAGTCAAAAAGTCAAACCTGGTCAACATAGCTGAGTACACCTAGCGCACGCAGCTTGTACGCTTGGCGTACACGAGCATTGACCAAAACGCGGCTGAGTTGACCTCGAACACTAAGCGTTCCTGGGCTACGCCCAACGTTCGTAAGGGACTCCTTTCCTTTCTTATTAAGAGCTTAATCCTTAAGCTCTTTTTCCCATATTCCAGATCTATCCCTAAAATAACGTCCTTAATCATAAAGTTTCCAACTTTATGGTCTTGCATGTCCATTAAGTGCCCAATATTAAAAACTCTAACTACTTAACCCATTAAGACCTTGTAACGCATGCATGGAAGGAAACTAACAATAAAGATTACATTTTTATGCTTCTAAATGCTTTAAAACGTCTGAAAGGAAAACTTATATGGATTAGAGTAATCTATACTCATAATACCAAGCTTATGGGACCAAAAGAACACCATTTCATAACTAAACAAGATCTAAACAACTCTTAATCAAGTTCATAGCTTTTTACTTCCAAATGATGCCAAATGATGTTGTTATTTTAGATCCAAAGAGTCTCACTCCTCCAAGATGATCTTCTCTTCTTCCTCTCTCCTTCAAGGTTACCAAAACACACATAAAATGCTAAAAAAATGCTCTAAAAATGGATTAGGGTTTGCTTGGGGATGAAGGTGGTTTGGAGGCTGATGAAAGAAGGCAGGGTTGGGACTTAAGGATGCTTAAATAGGGTCCAAACCCTAAAAATTAGGTTTTGCACTCTGGCCACTTACGCCCAACGTTCCTAGGGGAATGCCCAACGTACGCACCAACTCCCAAAATTACGAAAATGCCATTTTGGTCCAGTTTTGCATATAATTCACATCCATGGTCTAAAATGAAATAAATTCTCATACTTATGGTTTAAAATGAAAATACCTCAATATCAAGATGTTACATCCATAGCCAGATTGTTGTAGCAAATTTCGTGGTGATAAATCCCTAGCAAAATCCATGGTGATGCTTTCCTATCAAAATCCGTGGTGATGACTCCC